TGCTCCCTCATCCAAGTCACTGATGAATATATTGAATAGCACTGGTCCCAGTATTGACCCTTGATGGACTCCACTAGATACAGGCCTCCAACTAGACTCACTCTGTCCCATTGACCACAACTCTCTGTCTTCTTTCCTTCAGCCAGTCCACCTCACTACTCAATCAATCATCCAGATCACACTTCCTCAGTTTAGCTGCGAGGATGCTGTGGGAGAAGTGTCAAATGTTCTACTAAAATAAAGACACGCCAAATCCACTGTTTTGCCATCATCTACCCACCTGGTTACGTCTTCATAAAAGGCTATCAGGTTGGTCAAGCATGACTTCCTCTTGGTGAAGCCATGTTGTCTGCTCCTATTGACCTCTTATCCTCTTATCCTTGATATGCTTAGAGGCAGCGCCAAGGATAAGTTTTTCCATCACCTTTCCAGGGATGGAGGTGACGCTGATCAGTCTATAATTACCCAGGTCCCCCTTCTTGCCCTTTTTGAAGACTGGAATGACATTTGTTTTCCTCCAGTCTTCATCCATCTCTCTCGTTCCCCACAATTTACCAAAGAAAATAGAGGGTGGCCGTGGCCCAGCAATGACTTCCACCAGCTCCCTCAGCACCCATGGTGCATCCCATCAGGACCCATGGATTTATGGATGTCCAGATTGCTTAATTGATCTTTAGCCCAGTCCTCATCAACTGAGGCAAACTCCTCCTTGATCCTGACTTCCTCCGGGGCCTCAGGGGGTACGTAACTCCTCAGGACAGCCTCCATCTGCATAGGCAGAGACAAGAGAAGGCATTCAGTAACACTGCCTTCTCTATATCTTCTATCACCAGGGCAGTCATGTGTGTGTGTGTGTGTGTGCGCCTGCGTGCATGCATGTGTGCACACCTGTTTGTGTGTGCTAGTGCCCAGTGGCAGCAAGGCTCAGACTAGCTCCTAGCTGCTCAGGGCCACGCAGCCCCTTAATGCCAGCATCTATGCCATCCAGATACAGGCTGTCAGATTTTTGGAAAGAATCATAGAATCACCAAGGTTGGAAAAGACCCACAAGATCATCCAGTCCAACCATCCACCTATCACCAATAGCTCTCACTAAACCACATCCCTCAACACAATGTCCAAATGTTCCTCGAACACCTGCAGGGCCAGTGACTCCACCACCTTCCTGGGCAGCCCATTCCACTGCTTGACCACTCTTTCAGAGAAGTAGCATTTCCTAACGTCCAGCCTAAATCTCCCCTGGTGCAACTTGAGGCCACTCCCTCTAGCACAATCACACAAGAGGCCGACCCCCAGCTCACTACAGCTTCCCTTCTGGTAGTTACAGAGAGTGATTAGCTGTCTCCTGAGCCTCCAGACTGAACAACACCGTCTCCCTCTGGATAATGCTCTCAGACATACAGTCTGATTCTTGGCTGGTGCTGCGTGGAGCCAGGAGTAGGACTCGATGATCATTACAGGTCCCTTCCAACACAGGACATTCTGATTCTCTGAAATTGCTCAGCAAAGCGCTCACACCTGCTGCGGAGCTGACTTCTTCAGGATCACGCTTATTGCTACTTTGAAAAAGAACAGCCCATGTCATGGATTAGCTAAATAAATACTAATCACAGAAGGTTCTCTACAGGTGCTTTTTTTTTTTTATTTGTTATAGCAGTATAAATAAAAAAGTTATTTTCTCCCGAGGTCTTGCTCAGGCTACAGTGGGAATCGGAAGCAAGAACAATTTCTTTTATCAGGTCCCTCCGAGGCCGCAGGCAGAGCACAGCGCTTTGTCTGAATGAAAGCCGCCCCCTCACAGGGCGGCAGCGGCCGCGCAAGACAGCGCCGTGCCGGCATCCCGCGCAGTAAGGCCTGCCCCCGCAGCCGTGCCGCCCGCACCCAACAGTGGGCGCGTTCCCGCAGCCCGGGGCCCTCCCTCTGCCTCCACAGCGCTCGGCTCTTCGTCTGCCTGCGCCGTTCCCTGCAGTCTCCTCGGCGTCGAGCGCGGGTACCGCCGCCCTCCGCCCGGCGCAGAGCCCCGCAGGGCGTTCTCCCGCCTCGGTACGGACCGCAGCGGAGCGCGCGCGATCGGAACGCGCCTCAGAGCACCGATCCGCCGAGCACGGCCGGATTCGCGGTGGGCGGGTAAGGCCCGAGGGAGCCGCGCTGGCTGAAAGCGGCGGGGAAGCTCCCGGCTGGGCTGAGCCCCAGGGCCCCGAGGATGCGAAGGCCGTTCTCCCGCGGTCCGACGCGGGCTCGCCCGGCTCCCAGAGCCGAACGGTGACGACGGCGCCCGAAGGAGACCGGCCCGCCACAGGCGGCCTCGGCGCCTCCGCAGCCCCGCCGTGCCGCGCGGCGAGGCGCGTGCGCAGCCCACTCCCCCCTCCCTTCGAGGAGCCGCGGGGAGCGCGGCACGCAGGCGTAGCAGCCGGCGAGAGAGAGCGGCCGCCGGTGGGCGGGGCCGGCCGCGGGGACGTTGCAACTCGTCGGGGGCGGCTGCGGCGCCATTTTGAATCGGCTGCGGATCGGAGGCAGTGGCTGCCGAGCGCGGCTCCGCACCCCCCGAGAAAAGCGGGGAGAAGGGAGCGAGGGCTGAGCATGGCGGCGAATCGGAACTTGAAGCAAGTGCGGATCGAGAATAGCTCCCCAGCGGCGCCGCTGGGGATGGTGGGGGGCGGTGGCGGCGGCCTGAAGGGGCTGCGGGGCCTGGAGACGGAGAACGAGGCGGCGGCCATGGCGCTGGTGCCGGGCAAGGAGGGCGGGGATGAGGAGCAGGAGGGCGGGTTCACAATCGACATCAAAAGCTTTCTCAAACCCGGCGAGAAGAGCTACACGCAGCGCTGCCGCCTGTTCGTGGGCAACCTGCCCACCGACATCACCGAGGAAGATTTCAAGCGCCTCTTCGAGCGCTATGGGGAGCCCAGCGAGGTCTTCATCAACCGGGACCGCGGCTTCGGCTTCATCCGCCTGGTGAGCTTATCGCGGGGCTCTGCGGCCCACCCTGCCCGGCCCTGCCCCACCCCGCCCCGCTCTCCCCGCGGGGCGGCCGTGAAGCGCGGCCGCTGCCCCGCGTTCCCTTTTTGTCCTTCGCTGCTCGCGCTGTTCTCCGCCCCTCCCGCCCCCTCGCCCCGCGCTCCCCAGCCGGAGCCGCTCTTGGCGTTCCCCCCTCGGGGCCGTGCGGGTTTCGGGTTCCTCCCCCAGCCCCGTTGACGTGCTGCTCGCCCTGTTCCCGCAGCTCGGCCAGCGGGAGTTCTTGTGCGATCTGCTCCATTTGTTGAATACACGTAAAACGATTTTTCTTTCGTTAACTGGGAGCGTTTTATTGTACTTTAGGACTCTCGGTGCCGAAGCAAATTTCGATCTGCGCGGTTCTTTATGAGTATTTCCTCATGCAGTTAATTTTAAAGATTGCACGGATCTGTTTTGAAATACCATTGCTCACACGTATTGAAAGCTCAGAACATGTAATTCACGCTTGTACCGAATTGGAAACTTAGAATTGTCTGAATTTAACGATTCTCGGGCTCATACAATTTAACCAGTATTATTTCAAATCAAGTGTTCAAAAAAGAAATCATCCTTAAAGCGTGTCATGCTGCATTTACATTTTTCAGTTCCGTGTGCAGGATTAGTTTTCCTGACTGCCACGTCTAGGATGCTCTGATTTACTGAGTTCAGAGAAAAGCTTTAAAGTGCTTTCTGTGCCAACTGTTCTTAAGATTTTTCTGCACGTTTTGTTGGTTAGGCTTTTTTTTTTTTTAACATCTTTTGCTTGTCACAGGTAAATGTGGCATCCTGCTATCTGTTTTTTACTGTGACAGAGTTCTCGCAACCTGAATTAACAGTTTCCTGTAGGCAGTGCAATATATTTGCATACATTACTCAGTTCTGCACGTAGTAGAGATCAGTATCTACCCAAATGTCCCTTTTGCACTATATTAAGAGAGTAATATTTTTAAACCGTTTATGTGGTTGGTCAAGGTGTGGAGAAAATGGCTGCCACTTTGAGAATTATTTGTTTAAATGTTTGGGATTGCAGGTATAAAACTAGTTGAGGATTTCTGAGGTGAGAAAAAGGCAGTTATTGAGATGGACTTGTCTCATGGATGTGGGTGCAGAAAACCTGTAAGTGTGAGAGGAATTAATACAGCAGTTGCAATGTAATTTCGTCAAGAAATGATGAGAATTAGACACACGTGGAGACTTTATCCAATGGTAGCAACAAGCAAGTTGTTTTCAAAGAATATTTTCATCGATTTAAAAAAAATAAATAATCCTAGAAAGCAACCAGAAGCACTGGCCTTTAGATCTTGTAGTGCGGTCTATGAAGATACTGTTCCTGTAAGGAACAGCTCCTGTGTGAATCTAAGCATTTCAGTAGGTAAATATAAAAAGGCGTCAAATTCTCAACTCTGCAGAAAGCCTTTACAGTGCAGTGCAGGCGTATTTGTGATGATGGGAATGCTGTGTCCTCTCATGTGTAAGAAAAATGTGCATCTAAGTAACTTTTTTTAGGCTAAATCGTACGAGATGAAAAGTGCATATTATGGCAGTCAGGGGATAGGAACTTTCGGAGGGCAAAAATGAGTGCTAAATGACCCTATTGAAAATGAGCTCCTATTAAAGGAAGAAAAAATGCTGCTTTTCTGGGGTTTGAGGGGAGGAACAGCAGCACAAAAGCCATGTCTGTTGTCTTTGTAAATAAAACATATACAATATTTTGTATCTTGAAAAAGGAATCTAGGACACTGGCCGAAATAGCAAAAGCAGAACTTGATGGTACTATTTTGAAGAGCAGACCACTTCGAATTCGATTTGCTACGCATGGAGCTGCCCTAACAGTCAAGAATCTTTCACCCGTGGTTTCTAATGAGCTGCTGGAACAAGCATTCTCTCAGTTTGGACCCGTGGAGAGAGCTGTAGTTGTAGTAGATGATCGCGGCAGAGCTACAGGAAAAGGTTTCGTAGAGTTTGCGGCAAAACCTCCGGCACGGAAAGCTCTAGAAAGATGCAGTGATGGTGCATTCTTGCTAACAACGTAAGTCCACGGGATTTTGTTTGCGTTTGTGTCGAGTATGCATTTCTCATGTGAAAGAAAAAAGCATTCGCGGGCATTCCATAGTTCTTATTTTCAAATCATGAAAGCCGTGAGGTCGGAAATTAAAGGTGCTTTACGTGACTGCCTGAAATACATCGTTCTCCACACTGGAGAATAAAAAATAAAGCCACTCATTTGCTTACAAGTCTTGTAATTTTGGATTCCAGCCTGTTTAATAGGGCTCTTCTTAATGAGGCTTTATTTTCACTGATTGAGCTCTTCCTGATCCCAGTACTGATACCGTGTAAGGATGTGCTTCTTGGCTGAGGGGGGCGCGACTTTGCTGATATTTCTTTGAACTTGGGAAAATGTTATTTGGCTTTTTGTCTTCAAGAAAGCTTTATTTATATCTTTCAAAGCTGTAGGATTTTTCTTTCTAATGTGAACTTGTTTTGCACAAGTTGATGGCAGACATTTCTGGAAAAATTTCAAGGTCAAGCAAGCTTGTGGATTACGGTACTTTGCTCTACCATCTCTTATTTTGGTACTCAATGAAAAGAGTTGTTAACTGCTGTGCTTTTTTATATGGTAGCTAGGGACAGCTTCCAGTATTTTCATAAAGGCTGAGTGAAATTGTATATTTTCAGGTATGTATTTTTTTTTTTTTTTTTTTTTTTTTATAACCCCGTATAATTTGGGAAAAAAGGGCTGCAGTTTCACAGTGTCAAGGCTTGCTGCCATACTGTTGGGAAGTTGCAGTTCTGATTCAGGCTGCTTTTACCTTCAGAGCTGTTTGATACTTCCAATAGCCACCTGTGCTTAGTGAAACAAAGGAGAGGTATGTGGCTGCTTTTGTTACGTTCATTTTTGGCTGTTTTAGAAAGTGAAGGTGCTTGCTCACCTGGGTATTAAGAGCACCAGGTCCAGCTGAGGATAAGGCAGGAAAATATATTGCTCTGATGAGATGGCAGGTGGAAAAAGGATTTGGAACTCCTCTTGCTGATAATAATATCATAAATCGTATGTGTGACTGGACTGAATTCTGGTGGATACATAGTAAATTCAGTCTAAGTCTCTGTTATTGTCAGTAGGCACTGGAAGTTTGTTCTTATTTGTTGTGGATTTTCTTGGCATTAGTGTTTGAGTGGAGGCACGGTGAGCCAAACCAGGCAACTAATCTAGTTCAGTGAATGCTATAGTGTTACATGAGTACTATTCTTGGCATGAGAGATGTGGCGGGGGAAAAAGAAGCTGGATACGAGGGAGGATATTCTTGTTTTAGTAGTTGCTGGCTAGCTTTGTTTGATGGAAGTAATCATCTAACCATGACTTAGTGAATAAAAAGCACTTGATCTTTGTCTTTCAGCTGCACATTAGGAAACACATCAGACACCTAAGCTAATGTAATTAATATGAATCTCCTATGATAGTTTTTGTGCTGTGATGGTTTTTGTTTTGCTTCAAAATTAGAAACTTGATATTTTAAAGGAGATCTAAAATTTCTCCTTTCTATTCAGAGAGGAGAAATACTTGAAATGCTGTGTGCTACGATTCCAGGCTGTTTTTTTTCCCCCCCCTTGATGCCTAACGATTTTTTCCAGCTGTCCATGTTCTTCAAATACAAACATTTTGTTTTCTGTGATCTGCAAAGTTGTTTTTTTTTTTAAAGTGTGGAACAAAACCAAAGTGCTGGCCTTTTGACAATAGGAGCTTTTTAGCTCGTAAAATTTTAAGGTATTATTTAGATGCTCCCGAAACTGGTGTAGTTCTTATATACAATTGAAGATTTTATTGTTATCCATCGTTAGCTAATACTTGACTCTGATTACTTCAAATACTGCAAACTCCAAGAATGCATTCCACATTATGTAGAAGTTATTCTAGAAATAGAAAAATCATTGCAAAAATACCAGGCTGTTTTTAGTTGTGGAGTAACCATAATTAGAATCTGTTCATATTCTGTGGAAATATGAGCAGAGTGAGTATTGCTACCTTTTGGCTTTATTTGGTGCTGTGCTGTTATAGTGATGGTTCCCACGCTGTCTAAATAATTTATAATGTTTTTGAGATTTTTTTTTCAGCTTCAAATATTCCTATACTTCACGGCAGTCAAAACTACATGAAGTTGTATTTTCTATGCAGAATCCACAGCTGTTTTTGGGTGTAGAACCAGTTGTCACTTTCAAAGATGATTTTTGAGATTGGGTTTAATTGGAATTTTGTTGTTTCAGAAGAATTTGCGGAAAAGGACAGTGAGATAATATGTATGTTAGTTTCCAAAGGTCCTGCTTCAAAATACCAGAGCAGCTTATTTTACTGTTTCTTTCATTATTCAGTTATTCAATTGGAATTCTCTTCCAGAACACCTCGACCTGTTGTTGTAGAGCCAATGGAGCAATTTGATGATGAGGATGGGCTCCCAGAGAAGCTAATGCAAAAAACACAACAGTACCACAAGTAAGTTCGGTTTGACTTTTAACTTTATAAAATGAAGATACTAAGTAAGTATTTAGTAAGGTAATATTTTTATTTCAGGTTGGTGTATGTTTATTTTGTACAGCCAAGAGGAAGCCAGATGTTAGGTCAGTAAACTTTTTCCCACAGAAAAGCGATGTGTCATTTCTGTATTCAGAATTGGCATTAGAATAGTTCAGTTGGAAGTGGTCTTCCAAGATCATTGAGTCCACTGCCTGAGCACCTGAGGCTGACTAAAAGTTACAGCATTATCCAGCTGCCTCTTGACCACCAACAAGCACAGGGTGTGAACCACCCTCATGGTAAAGAATTTTTTTCCTTGTCTCCCATTAGTCATTGGTTAGTAGAGAGAAGAGTCTGGTACATCTGTCTGCACTTCCCTTCCTTTTCTCTAAACTAGATAAACTGTGTGTTCTGCCACCCATAGGATGTACCCTGCAGTCCTGCCAGCTTTATTGCCTGCCTCTGAATGCTTTTGGGTACCTTTGCATCTTTTTTATACTTTAGAGCCAAGAGCTATGTGCTTAAGGCTGGGCTGCACCAGTGCTAAATACAGTGGGAGAATCGCCTCATGGGACTGGCTGGCCATGTTGTGTTTAATGCTCCCCAAAAGGTGGTTTGTCCCTTGGCTGCTGGGGCACTGCTGGCTGGTGCTGAGCTGCTGTCACCAGCACCCCCAGGTCCCAGCTGTTGAACCTTAGGATCTTTTAGGCTCCTTCCAACCTAACTATTGTACTGTTCCACTGATTGCTAAAGATTAACAAGCAACTTTTTTCATTTTCCTAATCATAGTAAAATGGAGTCTTGTTGGTTTAGCATTCTGTGATTTTACTGAGGTAGAGATTCCTGGTCTTGGCTGAAATCAGCTGGAGCTTACTGCCAGTCACTGGTAGTCTTTTGTGAGCTTGGGCTGTGGTCTGATCCTGCAGAGATGTGTACGCCCACAGAATTTTATCCTCTTGACTAGCACCACCACCTCTGTAGAGTCACTGGGGTGTAAATCTTGGCAGCTTCTGTGATTTGGATGTAATTTTGAGCAAAAAAGTCTCTAGCATGAGGTGAAAGAGGGTTTTCCTTTGTTAGAGAGTATTACTTGTTACATTCAGATCTGATTGCTATTTAGAAATCTTGCAGCTTGAAACTAAAATACTTACTCTGGTAAGCAGTTAAACCTGTAGAGTAATACTTGGAAAAAAAAAAATAAAATCATTGTTCTTTAAAACATTAGTGTTAGAATGTGAATAAAGTATTGGCTCCTTTAAATATTCTTACTAACAGTCTGAACTGTTTAGTAAGCTTTAATATGCATTTAATTTCTTATATGATGTGACCACTTTAGATTAGCTGGGTTCACCCTTCTAATGTCACAGCTAAATGTTTTGTACCATGGTAATTAAACGTTTTTATGTTGATTATATAAATGGAGTAGATATTTATTTGCAAGATTTCTCTGATCAGATTACTTACCACATTAACAGCTGAATTAAACTGACAAACTGGTTTGCAATGCTGATCTGACTTTGCATCAGATTTGAAGTGATTGTTTGTGAATTCTTTGGCTGTTACGGCTGTTGATCTTAATGTGTCCTTCTGTACATTTTAACTGCAAAATTTTTATTAGGGAAAGAGAACAGCCTCCACGTTTTGCTCAACCTGGAACATTTGAGTTTGAGTATGCTTCACGTTGGAAGGCTCTTGATGAGATGGAAAAGCAACAGCGTGAACAGGTTGACAGGAACATTAGAGAAGCCAAAGAGAAACTAGAGGCAGAAATGGAAGCAGCTAGACATGAGCATCAGCTAATGTTGATGAGGCAAGGTAAAAAATCAGATAATGTATTAGCATTAATTCTTTCCTTTTCACAAATTTTCTGTCTGTAGCATATTGAGCTGTATGTTAAATGCAGAGATTTCTGGTAGATGCTATTTAATTAAATGTGTTGAACCAAGGCAAAGGAAGTAGTATTTTTCTGTTTGTGTAGTCTTTGAGGGTTTGCAGTAATGGATTAAGAAGTCGAGAAAGGGGAGGTTGCCTAGGTGTATTTTTTCACCTAAGTTTTTGTGCTGTAAATAGTTTATATCACAAGAATGAATGGTAGCCTCAAATTCATCTGTAAAATTATGTTTTTGTTGGTGTTGTTTATGGTACTAGATGGGACAAAGCACTGTTTGTGTGTCCTGGGCAGGAAAAAAAATGTAAAATGATGGTTTGTAGTTACAGCTGATCGTGCCTCTCCAATACAATCCAAAATAATTTTACTCCTTTTTTTTTTTTTTTTAACATTTGAAACCCAACTGAGAAATCTGTATGCACGATTGTTGTAGGCAACTCAAAGTAAGTGGCAGTTGTCATTAACCTACATTATTCTTGAAAGTATAAAATGGTGCATCACTCTTATTTAACTTTGTGGATATGTTCCCTTTCTGTAGTTTTGGGGGAAAGAAAGTCCTTTAGAAACTGTTTTCAAGCCCTACCCTCAGGAATGGAGCTGAGTTGAGCTTGTATTTCTGTGGCAAAGCAGAAACAGGGCAAGTAGCTGATATTTTCTGCCTGTTAGTCTTTTCCCAAAAAGCTGGTGGCCCATAATTACTGCTGTTTGCATTGCTTTCAGTTGAGAACTGCAGAACACCATTTGATCTTAGTTTTTAAAGTTACTAGTTTTGCTACGACTGGAAGTTGTCATTAGGAAGAAGTTCACCTGTCCTCTTGTTTCTCAGTGAGCGTGCTTGCGCTAAGTGAGAAACTGTGTTTATATAAGATCTGGTGCTGCAATACAGAGCATAATAAAATAATAAGAAAAAACAACAAATTTCAAATGCCAAATAGTTACTGTAGCTCCTTTTATGGATGCTGAAGGAAAAAGTTCTCATTTTTTGGAATATCTTTTAAGATCCACTTTTACACAGAAAGAAAAAGACTATTTCTTCTGCTGAAGAGCCACTGGAATAAGGATGTTTCTGGTGTCAATATTCCATTGAGAAGATTGGCTTTTTGTTGCTGTGGGAAGAGGGTTTGTCGTTCCTCTTTGATTATAATGGAGCACTTCTCTTTGGTACCAAACAACCTGGAATTTTGTGCAGGTGCTCAGATTTGAGCTTATTGTTATGCAGGAATTTGAATAGCTCAGCTCTCAGCATGTTTCATGTTTTTTTTTCTCTTACCAACTCTTCAGCTTCAGCGTATATGAAAGTAACCTGATGAGATTGAATTGTGTGCTTTTTAAGAAAGATGCAGTGAAACATAAAACATCAGAATCAGGAATGACTATTTTTGCATATCTGATGCACAAACGAAATGACTGGTTGCAAAGGTTGTTGAAATAGTTATTCTGAAACATGGAATGTAAAACTATAGCATAGTAGTTAGCAGGAGCTAAAAAGATGAGAAGAATGAGTTTCCTACAATCCATATACTTCAGCAGACAAAGGAGAACGAGTTTTAATGAAATTGCTTTATCAGAGGTGTTGGGACTTGCACTGGAACATGCTGGTTGAAGTACCTGAGTTTTCATGGCATGGTATTAACACTGAAGATAAAGACTTCATTCTTTCAACGTGTGTGATTTCTCACTTTTAAGTGTCACGTTTTGACAGATTGAGTCAGAAGTAATTTGTAAAGCAGAATACATGCTTCCATGTGTAAGTAAACTGGCATGATATTTCTGATCTGCATATTGCTGGTATGCTTTAGAGTTGTGTAAATATTTCTTCATGATGACAGTGAAATAGTTTGACAAAGTACTAGAAGATTTGACTAGATTTAGTCAGAAACTTCATTCTTCTGCATGGAAAGTGGCCATTTGCTTTCTGTTTTTAGAACCTGAAAAATTAGCAGCTAAAACAATGCAGCTTTTTGGTCTTGATATGGCTGTGTGTAGGATTAACCCCAGAGATGAGGGGTCGCTTTCACCTTCAGTCCTTGAATCTGCAAGAATTTGAATATTGAAACATCTGTCTTTTTTCTTTAGGCATGAGAAGATGAGGAAGCCAATAGTCCATCTGTTTCACAGCTATCAGCTTCAGTGCAGTTTTTTTTCTGTTCAGAGAAAGGATCCGTGTCCAATAAATGTCAGCCCAGAATCAGCAGTGTTGCAAATCCTCTAATATGAGAGGCTCTGTGCCCAGCCCAAACATCGAGATCTTTATTTTTGTCTAGCTAATGAAGCTTTGTGTCAAGATTCTGCCACTGTCGGGTGGTACCAAATCTAATTGTTGTGCTGAGCTTTTAAGATCTAACAGTTTCAGGAAGGACAGTAATCAGAAACAGGCCTTGAAAATTTTTAGAAATGTGTGAAATTAGGGCTGCAGTGCTTAGAGGGGAGAAAATGATAAATTCATAGCAGTTAGCAGTAGAGAGAAGGTAGAAACTGTTGCAGTGCATTAATGTAAGGAAAAAAGGGATGGTAGGTAAGTGGGAAATAGAATGAAGACAGATACCTTTTCCCACAGTGACCAATGCTGAATGCACAGTGGGTTCATTCGTGATCTCATGACTACTCTGAACCAATCTAAATGTTACTTTAAGGAGTCTGGCAGAGTATGAAGATAGCATTGGCTAAGCCTGCTACAGTATGCACTGTTGTAAGGAAATGGTCCTGTGACTTTATGATTTGAATGAATATTTGCTTTAATCATTAGTCCATGTAAATACATTGACTTTGCAAAGTTGGTAAAGGCAGGCCTGCAAAGCTTGAGAGAAGACTTACACTGTCTGTAAGGATGTTATCTGGTAAACTTTATTAAATATATGGTAAAATTCTGGTGATCTGTGTTAAAAGAAAACAAATGCATGATATTTTGGTAAATGTAGCAGTGTAAAAGTTTATAATAATATGTGCTGTTGCAAGCTTGAGTTTTTTGCAGAGTAAATAAAATGATTTAATTGATGTGGTGAAAAAATGCGTGTAAAAATGTGTGGAGTAGTTGAACTCAAGCATAAAACACATCTAATGGTGTCTGTAAATAACGTGGCCAATGTTCTGAAGATGGAATATGCAAACAGCTGCTTTTATTGTGGCAAGAGGTGGAATTAATATTCACTCAAGAATGCGTGAGTTTCCAGACAGAAATCAGTGGTCTGACTGGGCAGCATTGAAGTAATTATTATTAGTTCTGGCTTGCTTTTTAAGAGCTTTTTAAAGTGTTTTTTAAGGAAGAGTGTGGCTTTTCTTTCTGGTAGTGTTAACAGTTACAGTTATTTCTAAGTGACTGTAAGACCAGTCATGATTAATCGCTCCGGAGGTTCAGATCACGTGCACCTCAAGTTCATTTCACTTGTTTCTGGTGTGTTGTGCAATTGTCTGCAGTAGATGATGGAGAATGTGAATTGCACTAGTTTCCTTGCTAAAGGGACTTCAGCAGTATGCAGCACTGTGAGAAAATGGATACCTTGCCAAAGCTGCAAAACCAGGACGTGATTAAAGTGATTGAGGCTTTTTCTTAAGCTCCCCTTCTCCTTGTTTGAGGGCTTCAAATTTCTGCGTCCATCACCTTCTTTGGAGGGCATAGCCAGTGTAGTGCCTTAGCATGTGAGCCTTGGGTCCTTGTGGTTTTTCATATGGCAAGCTTGGCTGAATGGGAGGGAGCTGCTTAGACGTGTTGAGAAATGGCTTTAATTTTAAAATTGATTATTGTTAGAATGGTAATCTGATAGTGATTTTGTTGTTATTGTTGTTACTGTGTTGTTAATTGAGAGCTTTTATATTCATTATGTTTTGAATCCTGGTAGATCTCATGCGGCGTCAGGAAGAATTGAGACGTTTGGAAGAACTTCGGAATCAAGAACTTCAGAAACGCAAGCAGATACAGTTGAGGTATTTTTGTCTTGTACTGTATGAAGTTGTGGCAGTAATTTAAAGCGTGCATCTGCTGTCAGCCTGCACAAGTTCAGACACTTTGGTGTGCAGAGCTTTTAATACAAAATATGGATGTGTACCATTTAAAAACTGTTTTTCAAAATCATAACAGGAAACGTTTCTGTTAACATTCTTGCAGAGAAGAATGGTCACTTATGCTAATACAAAAGATTAGTTGCAAGTATTTCTAGTATTTTTTCATTTATTTCAGCTCAGTTGTTTTGTAAATATCTGAGTTTTCTAACAAGCTTAGAAATGTTGTAATGTGAATGTTTCATATGATGACTTATTTTTCAATGTGATGGAAGCATAGTTGTAATGGAGCTGTAGTAGAACACACTTGGAAGATTGGGGGGTATTCATCTACTGCGTGTAGAAGTGTAGCATTGCAGATTTATAGTCAAGAGTTTTGGGAGTGTTTTCTCGTCTTATTGTAGTGCTTTGTGGCACTTTGTTTTCTGATGTATTGCTTTTCTCTTTAAGAGCTGATTCTTATGAATACAGGGGCTGCTCAGAGTGTAATTTCTCCTATCTTATGATGTTGGCCCATGATGTCTGAGGCGGATGTTGGTGGTAAAGCAGTAGAGGTTGAGCCTTTGCACCAATATTCTGTAACATCTGTGGCCGTGTGAGAGTTGGAGCAGAGGCGTTGTCTGATGAAATGATGTCTGACACGACAATGATGTATGAAGCTGAGTTGTCATTGAATAACTCTGTACAGAAAAAATGGCACCCAATGACATTCCTTGATGCTTGCTGGACAATTTTGGGGACCAAATAGTGGAAGTGAGCATACTGAGGTGCTGGGTGATTCATTTCAGCAGTGGTGACAGTGGGTCACTTCTTCTGGTGCAGATTTTTACAAGTGTGTCATGCAGGCTTTTGTTTATCACTGACAGAAATGCAGAGCTGGTGGTGGTGATTGTTGAAAAGTAGTGTTTTGTAGCTGAAGATTTTCTCTATCAAGTGGTGTTACTGTGCTTTTTGTATCGGTTGTAGTTTCTGTGGGAGTAAATAGGAGGCATTGCTTTTGAAGCAATATATGTACTTCTTATAACTACTTATATTAAATATCTCAAGAAACGGAGAGGACACAAAAGAACAATATACTGTATAGAGTTAGCAGTTTGGCTGTAGGCAGTGTTGAAATATTGTAATCCATAGTGTTGTTTTTTTTTTTTTTTTTAAAGCTTTTGAACCTGCTTACTTGTTTGTACAGATTAACTGTAGGCAGAAGAACAAGAATATTAGTATTGTGGATACCTGAATACTCGTTAAACAAAAACACTTTGGTAGTGTTCAAGCCCATCAGGTTGAGTAGATTAGTGCCTTACCCTGTATTAAAAGCTAGTAGGTAGTTACCTTACGTGCTGATGTTAACTCCTGAGGCTGGTTATGAGCCCGAACAGATCATGAGTCTTAATTTATGTAATTCTTGAACAATATCCTAGACATGAAGAAGAACATAGACGGCGTGAAGAGGAGATGCTACGCCAGAGGGAACAGGAGGAATTGAGACGGCAGCAGGAGGGAGGATTTAAGCCAAATTTCATGGACAATGTAAGTAGAACTTTGACTAAAGTTGAAATAGTAAATATTTTACTGTAGTTTTCAGGGTTTTTTAATACTTTGTCGTATTGAACTGACATTTCATGTGCTGTTTTTCCTTCAGAACTCCGTTGTTCTCATGAGTGGAATGGCACAAATTTAGTAGTGTAATTTTTTTGAACTCTGACATCACTGTCTTGTAGGAAAATAAGTAATTCAACATTTCAGCTAATTGAAGGCGTTCAAATTATCATTTTCCTTTTTTATTCAGGAAGTTAAGTTTTCCAAGAAAATCATTTAGTTTTTTTAAGTGGAAGGTTAGAGACTGGATTGTTATGGGCATGAAGAGGTGCCTTAGTTGAGCTGAAAAATTTAATTTTTAAATGATTCATACTGCAAAGCTTCTTCAATTGCTTATTATGTGTTATGCTTAATTTATTATTAATAATATACTTTAGAAACAGGCAATGGAGCTTCACATGAAGCCTAAAATCCCTTTCTTTGAGACCTTTCTGTTAGACTAGATGAGGAAAATCTCCAGATCTGTACTGAAGATGACCAAAATATTCAAAGGAAGAAAAAGATCTTTGCCACAGTTGCTACATTAAATAATGTAGCAGTAATGTATTTAGGTCTGTTCAGCCTTTGAAGCCTCGTCTGGAGGGAATAGCAAAATGGAGATATCAGAGGAATCAGCTTCCTAAATTTTCAGGATGATCTCTTTTGGTCATGGGTATGGTTTCTGCCAACCAGAACAGTGAAGTGAGCACAAAGCAGTTAAGTGCTTTAATTTTATGTAGTAAAATACTGCTAAAACAGATTTTAGTGGGAAAGCAGTAATGCACATAGTGATCCTCTGTACAGGTTCAACTTGATGCATAAAATGGAAACAAATTGCTGGTTTCTTAGCTGCTTTCTGATTTGTACTTTGTGGAAGTAATGTTTATTTTACATGCTATAGAATACCTCTGCCTGTAGAACACTCTGAAGAGTGTACTGAATATGTTCTGAGACCTCCCAAGAGAAGATAGAACAGGAATCTTTTATTTTTCCTGTTGGATTTAGGATTCTTAGTAAGGATAGAGAGGAAGCAAAATAGTTCCTTTGTGATGTTACCAACTGCTGTCAGTTGATTTTGCTGATTGTGTTTGAGAAACTCGCAGCTGGAAATAGGTGGTAATTTATTTCCCTGCGTGCTCTCACTGTAAGGAAAACTGTGTTCAGGCATACATTTTTGGGGGGATGATGATCTAGAACTGAAAACTTAAAATAACCTTTAGTGCATTCCTGTTAATAAACTGGTAAGTCATATTTTGCAAAACAGGATGTAGCAATCATCTGATGTAATCTAGAAGTGATACTGAAGTGATTCTGACTTCTCTAGAGCCAAGTATGTAATTTCATTTCATGTTAATGTCATAACATCTTTTGGGGGCAGTTTGACTTTGTGATTGTGTAAGTTATGTGTCAAAATAATCCCGTGGCTGAGCTACAAGATCCCTGTTGCTCACTGCTGAGAGCTGCAGGAAAGAGATGGCAGCAGCTTCCTTCAGTTCCTTTTGCTGTTGGGTAGCAGTGTTTTCCCTGCAGCTCAAGGTTGAGGGAGTGCTGGATAATGCTGGTCACAGCAGCCTCTATTTAATTGCTTTTTGCAGCTCTTTGAGGTAAGGTTACTTAGTCTATGAGCTTGAATTGCTTGCCATCCTCATACTGTTCTGCATATTTAAATTTGGAAGCTCTTTCGAAGCTCTTCAGATTATGTGCTGGACATAGGAAAATGTCATAGCGTAAGGAAGGAAAAGGAATAGTTCAGGTGGAAAGCATTTCAATCACTGTAATTTATGTGATTTTACACACTGGAAATTTTGTGGGAAAAAGAGTTGGAAGGAATGTTCTAGAGTGTGTGGAGCTCTCCTACTGAGTTTCGTTTGTGGGGATTTTATTCATTCATCTGGAATAACATACGGTGTGAGATCATATAGATGTAGTTGTGCAGTGAGAAGCCTGCCAAAAGAGATACAGGTCGACTGAAGGAATATGAAGCATAGCCATCTTCTTTTTATATCATGTGAACTCGAAGTGATGTATACAATAATTAATCAGTTTTCCCGTGTTTTGAGGAGTGTTACAGTCATGTGATGACTACTTTGCTTCCAGTTTTAATTCTTCCTCTTTAAGGGCATTGAGAGTGATTTATTGTTTACTTACTTTAACACCTTTCTAATAAGGGCAGCTATGAAACGAAGCATGACATATCATTTCACAAGCATTTGTTACAACATGTCTTTAGATCTGTGTTGAGGTTGTGATGTATGAATGGAGGTTCGAAAAAGCCTTTGCATTTTGGAGCCAATAAGAATTATAAACCTTATCTGGAGGTAGCAAAATGATGCATCTTTTACTCTATTTAATAGAACTTCTTATATAAATGAAGTTTTTTTGATTTATTCTTAATTTGTTTACTGTAAACAGACTCCATGTGGTAGTTTCATCTAGTCCTAGATTACCATTGTGCATATGTTGAAAAAATCTAATTTCAGTTTTGAGAGTATAAAGTTGCTTCTTTGTTAGCACAACATCTTATGGTACTGGGGTGTAGTTTTTAATCATATCTGGTCTTGATGAACTATTTTGGCTTAAATTATGTAACATGTTGAAGTCTTCTGCCTACCGTGTACTTAGAAGGCAACCGTTAATTTTCTAATGCTTGTTTTTGTTTCTTAAAAGCCTTGAAAAGTAAGCTTCCTTCACTTATATCCTATTCCTTATTACTGTTCAGTATAAAAGGAGGACATAAATGGTAAGTGCGATGGCAACCGGAGTTGGAACTTGTCATACAAGCTGCTGTATCAGGCTTTCCTGTTTAAAGCTTCTTTCTGTGTCTTTATCCTAACTTGTTAAACTTTTATTTTTCAGTGTGACCTCTTTTAAAAATTTATTGTAATGGAACTTCATGCAATTAGCAGTTTGGTTTAGTTGCAGTTGGTAGATGTTTTCTGTATGAGCGTTGCCATTGGTGTAGCGTTCATGGTGATGTTGTATGTGTATAAAAAAATCTGATTGCATTGACTGCTAATCCAGTGGGCTTCCTAGTGATGTCCAGACAATTTATCAAACTAGTTGTGCAATCTATAGTAGGTAAGCTGTTATTTACATTTCCACATCATTTAGAGTTTTTGCTACATAAAGGTTGTTTAGTTGAAATCTGCTATTATACCTGACCATATTTATGCATTCTAATAAATGATACGATCTCTTTTTCCTATAATTTTTATTTTGCATACGTCTTTTCTCCTGAAAGGAGAGCTTGGAGATGATGATTATAAATAAACAATGTTTTTCAGCAGCACAAATATACTTTAAATTAAAAATATTTATTCTATTTCTAAGTGCTTTTAATATATTATTTGCTGTGCAGTGGTTAGTATCCAATTGTGAATGGCTTATGCAGATACGCATTTATTCTGAATTGGTCTTTTTGCTAAATAATTTCTAAATAATTGCTAGGGAGTATTTTTTTTTTTTAACTACTGTCATTGATGTAGAAGAGTGAGAAGAGAATAATTTACGTCTTGTGTATTGAAATAGTTCTCAAGTGTTTACAAAAGAGCCCCGGATTTTTGGAAATACTGTTCTTTTTTGTGGAACACATGTTTATTTCCAAAATAATATTGTGAAATATTATAAGGTAGATACTGTACTTAATGAAACAGTAGCTACAGTACTGTCCTTCAGCAGCTCTTCTTACTGATGGTTTAAAGATAGAATTGAGATTTTTAGATGCCTCTCTCCTGTTTTTTCCCATTCCTGCGTGGGGACCTTCCCCTTTTCAAGTGTAGCTTCACAAATAAGGAATTGTTTTTTGACAATCAGTTTCAATTTCTGAAAGCTTACTGCTCTTTTGTGGGAGACTTTTTATTCATACTTAATCTTTTACACTTCTTATTTTTGTAAATGAACTCTAAGTTTGCTGTCCTTTTATTTTCTTAGACAAAAGCTCCACTGCTGAGTATGTAGCATTAATAGCAGAATGAAGTGGCAGGCACTCGAGCAATGGAGGTTGCTTCAACAGCACAGATATAATGGACTTGAAAGGTGTAACACAGTGGAGGGTTAAAAAAAAAAAAGCCATCAGGAAAGAAAATGTCAGAACAACAGCAAAGTTTGTAGTTTGAGGAATGCCAGAAAGGTGGTTAATGCAATTTGATGTCTTTGTCCTAAGAACTCTTTCCCTTTAGAGCAGTTTTTAAATGAAGCTTCTTCCTCGCTCCTATCAACTATTTCAAGCCTGCTGTGGTGTATCTGAGGAATGGCTCATTTCTACATTCCCATACAACTTAAGTGGTAGATTTCTTTGAGAGAAGAATGTTAATTGGATTTTCTTACACCTCTGTAATTCAGCAGTCTGTTTTTGGACACCTAGACTCTGCAGTGAACAGAACTGAACAGATTTTGTTCCACCTTCTAATCCATTACCAAAGCACCAGTTAGACAAGAAGTCTGCATTCACATTGTATGCAGAATTCTTTCTTACCTTGTTCAGGAGAAAACTAAGTTAAGGCAGTTTTCCAGTAATAAATTCATTAACAAAAATTTCCGAAGATACCTCTTATTCCATAAATTGCTTTGGTATTTTGGAGGTTTAATTCGCATTAATTCTGTGACCATTTTTAGCATGATTCATAATTGACTTTCTAAATTGATGTGCATCAAGGAGGTGATTTTTCAGTAATGGAGCAAATTATCATTGGAATGTTAGATTTTATTAGCAATTTCATATTTCAGTATGTGCAAACTATTAATATTTTAGCTATGTTATCTTTTTTCCCTATGTTAAGCTTTATTATGAATATCTAACACTGTAAAATTTGGATCTTCTACCTGATGCAATAATGCTTGCACAGAATGTTTAGAACATACTAATATTTACCTCCTGTAAACTTGTAGAAAGAACAAGTGACCATTCAGAAGTCATACCATTAACGTGCTATATCAAATACGCATAGATCTCC